ACAACTTGTGTGCCAATACATAGAAGAATCATAAATAATATCAAGAACCAACCGCTTCCTGATGAAAAATATTCCTTATAGAGACCTAAACTGACTTTGCCTTCAACGCGAGTCTCTTGCGGAACCAGGGCTGTGTCCTGTATAACGGAGTCTGCCAGAGAACTCAAAGATGCGAAACTGTCAGTGCGCGAGGCTTGGCGGCTGGTTTTTGACTGTAAGCTAACGTGATCTCCAGCATCGCCCCTCTGTTCATCCACCGCCTGTTCATCGGCCTTATTTGTATCGGTTAACAGTTGGGCAAAGTCCAGGCCACTATGTTGCATCGTCGCATATGTACCCATTGCACTGATCTTGCCTTTATCCATGATAACAATGAGATCTGCTTGTTCCAGAAACTGCAGCTGATGTGTGACCAATATAACCAACTCGCTTCTCAGGTACCCTCTCATGCACTGGTCAAACAGGTGACGGCCCACATGTGTATCCACAGCACTGAGTGGATCATCAAGGAGGTAAATGTCCGCCCTACGATACACAGCCCTGGCCAGACTGATGCGTGCTTTTTGTCCACCCGAGAGCGAAGCTCCCCGCTCGCCAACGATCGTCTTATCGCCTTGAGGAAGTAGTTCAAAATCTCGCTCTAGGGCGCACTTCTTGACCACAGTCCGATAACGATGCTTGTCCAGGGCTAATCCGAAGAGAATGTTTTCACGTACAGTGCCAGTGAAGAGCCAGGGTTCCTGCGCGGCATAGGAGAATCTGCCATTAATTTTAACACTGCCTTTTTCCGCAGGAAGCTCGCCTAGAATCGATTGGATCAGACTCGACTTGCTTGCGCCAACGGGTCCAATAACTGCAACTAGTTGCCGGCGACCCAATTTTAGATTGATATTGGTCAAAGTATTTTCTGTTGCTTTGGTATCCCACTTGGCATAGAATTGGTTGAACTCAACAAGCGTCTCATCATCGATATCTTTTGTTCCTGTATTTTCATTGTCATTGTTTATCATTGCACCATTTTCCTTATCGGATTCTTCTTTAGCAAAATTATATTCTGTTAGTGAATTCGATTTGTCTTGAACTTGAGTCTCCATTCTATTCATAAACGTCTCCAGGCGTTTAAGGGATACCTTGGCTTCCGCTAGTTGTGTGATGCTTAGTGGAAAAAAATTAGTTACTGCTCGTTGCAAAAAGTTGTAGTAAGCTGTGATAAAGAATGCGTCGCTAGCATTCAACACACTTTCTAGCAGCACGAAGCCCACTAGGCTGACAAAAGTAAGGGTGCGGGATAGGCACATGCCAAAGGCAATAAGGACTCCTCTAATATAATTGACTTTCTTGATGCAGTTCATCTCCTTGCCACGCATTAGTTCGACTAGTTTGCCCAGTGGCTTCTCCCAGGCGTACATCTTGATTACTTGAATGCCGGAGATAAATTCGTTCATCATTCGTACGCGTTCGTCTGTACGCAATGCTGTCATCAGACGCAGCACTGATGTTTTTTTTGCCAAATAGGCTTGAAAGGGTAGGAAAAGTAACATAATGGCAACACCAAAGAAGGACGCGACGCCGATCTGTAATTATTTTAACAATAAGTCAATACGTCTTAACTCTTATTTATCGATTTACCTTTTGATACATCAAACATGTAACTGCAAAGAGTTCGATTGGAGCTAGCCATATAAAGTGTCCGGTAAAGAGAAATAAATCAAAGCGACCGACATCGTTTGACAATAGGTTAACCACCTGACCTATCGATGTATCCCCCAGTGCTGTATGGCTCAGGCGCAATGCTTTTCTGTACATCAGACTACATAGCGCCACACGCATTTTCATGCTTAGATGAAGAACACCTAATAAATATGGATGTCCACTAACAACGGATAGCACTGAGGCACATATGAGGCCTGCTGCATATAGCTGTGCTTTTACGGGATCTGTATCCTGGCCAGAAAAGTATTGCATAATACCATATAGGCACATTGGCTGCGTCATTCTATAAAGAGCTTCACATAAATAAATGTCACATAGTGTCTTGAGATGAACTTACTTCGTTGCGAAGTCTCTCAGTCCCAGCAGTAGTCCAGTTATAAACACATGCCAACCAAACACTCGGATCATAACGCGGCCCAAGCGTGGTTGCTTATTCTGAGCGGTTCTCTGACTTACTTCCTTATCCCAAGCAGCGCTTAAGCGATCGCCGAGTGTGTCTACAGAGAGGGCAGGAGAGCAATGCTTTAAATAGCTGTTATTTTTTTCAACGAATCGATTGTATTGCAGCTATCGATAGTATAAGAATTATCTAACAAGAGTTTAAAATATTCGAATTATTCAATACACATTACACTCCCAACGACTTATTTAAAGAAACTTACATTGAAAAATGCAAGTCAATGTGCTTATATTATATATTATAATTATTATCTTTTCAAGAAATATTTTTTTTAAACGCACTCACCAGATTTGTGCTCCTTTAGTGGCTGGTACAGATCTGGCTGCTCCAAAGTTTTCTTCCGGCCCTTCAACATTACGGGAAACACAAAGCTTTAAGATATACATGAAGATAAGAATGAATTCTTTTAAGGTCATTCAAATAAAAACTTTTATAATAAAAAGATAACTCTAATATATTATATGATTTACAACAATTTATATAATATTAAAATACTGCACGGAGAATCAAATGTGTTATATCTGTATATTAGCCATAGCTGAGTGTGAGCAACAGTTAGAAATTTACAATGTAATTGTTTTCATTAAGCGTTCAATTCAACATTTTCTAAGACCTTCTATATATTTTAATACTTCGAAAGATAAGATAATGGAATAACATGAAACCCAAGCTCAATTTGTTAGGTTTGTTACTTATTAAATTACATATATTCAATTGTGTTTTATAATGTAACAGCTTGTTTTTTTTGTTTAAATTAAATTGATGATATTTCGACTCACCAAAAAAATAGTTCCGAAAATGGATTGCTCCGTTCGCGTGGATTTACAGGCAGTTCATCTGCTTTCATTGATTGCATTTTAACTTTCTTCTTGTTTTTTGACTCAATTAAATATACAGACTATATACAATTACCAAAATGGTTCTTACAATATTTCACTTTACATCTACGAATATTTTCCACTGTGCAATGCGATTAACGATTGTGTCAGTGATGCTGCTACGTAGACCGTATGTTAGAAAACATGAATAACATAAATCAACAGAATAAACACATTCTAACAGTATACATATATGTAATTAATTTATTTTATAACGCAACATTGGTATAAGAATATCAATATATTTCATTGCGTCAAACACTTCATTTCACAGTTTATTAATTTTCACCAGACCACAATAATAAGATAACTAACTGTTCACTCCAACCGCCGAGCACGTTCTAAGCAACAGCTGGCCCACATGTCGCCATTTATAGGAGAAGATTCACTGCTAAGAAACTCCGTGGACATTCACTGTTAAAAGATACGTTAGCAGGTCATTACATTTAATGTTAGCTAACAGCTCTGTTGTGACGTCACATTTTCGGCTAGTGCTGTTATCCGATTTGAAGTTAGGCGGGAACACAACAGAATTATATAACTCTGACAGGAACTCGAGTCCAATTATAATTCAATAATTTACGAAATATGACGTCACACTGCCAAGGCAGCCACTAACCATAGTGTTCTATTGTTAATGATTTAGCAGAGCCAACTATGACGATTGACTTAGACCTTTAACAGTTGCCAATTAATGCTCAGTCTGGGCACTCTGTTTTATTATGAGCTTTTGGATTTATTGTAGCCAACGGCGGGCGTTTTCAAAGATAAGTGTAGTATAAATAAATTAAATTTAAATTGATGGGTTTATGTATTTATTGATTTTTTAGGCATGCTGTTAAATTAAAAAAAGCTTTTTTAAAGCTTATCCAAGTATTTAAGTTTCTGTGATTCCAAACAGGCTTTTAATAAGAAATTAGAAATTATAATATACATTCTACATCATATATAACATGAATTGATAAAACTTTTTTTTTTTTTTTTTTTTTTTTTTTTGCATAATTCATGTCAATTTATGGCCATTGAACTGATATAGTACTGAATAATATTATTTCATTATATTACATTAGAATGGCACAATAAACTTTATCTCGTGAGAAAAACTGTGCTTCTAAAGTGTCAAATTACGAGTCGTCAAGTGTTGTAGATAGAATATAGCCGGCTGATAAGTTATCATAAAGCTGAAACTTTTGTATATTTTTTGACTATCAATAACTGTGCATAATGGAGTGGAACCTACATCGACCTTGACTCACAATTTTTTGTTTGTTTTTATTTACACATTTCTGTATTGATAAAGAATTAACGTTGTCCAAATTGACTCATTGATAAACCAATTAAGACTCACCAGAACATGAGCTCCAACAGTGGATGGTTCCGCTCACGTATGCTCTCCGGCAGATCATCTTCTTTTATTTTGTGGATTTGAAAGCTTACAAAAAAAACTATAAAATATACATACATATATGCATAATAAAAAGATTTTTTATAAAATTCATTTTTTCATTATCTATTATTTTATTTTTTTCATTGAATTATAAAAGCCATTAATATAGTGTTTTTTTTCAATTTCACCATACCTCTAAATTGTTCTTAGGATGTCAGTTATTTTGATCAGCCAACTCTGTGCGACGGCCACAGAATGCGATCTCAAACTGAAAAGCTGACCGATGTAGGTGGTTTTATATAAAACTCTCTCGCTCTCCGAAAGCTTTCTCTAAAAGAAAAATACTGCTTTCACATCTTATCGATTTTGGTCTTATCGTGTACAACGTTTTTGACAGTCATTAACGTTTAACACTGGCGGATAAGATAAACGAAGTGTCAGTGGTCAGGAACAAAGTAGTAAATATTTATTAGTCTGGAAAGAACCAGTAATGTTCTTTAGATTTCACCAGCACTGCTTTGTTACCATTTCAATGAAAACAGCTGTATTAATAATTTTGTATTTAAACACAAAGAGTCCACATTTTATTCAAATTTGTTTTAATATATCATTATTAAAGATCGTAGAAATAATACTTTAAGTAACATATACATAATTACACAATTATAAGTGGTATACTTTCTATGAGGAATTTTCTTAAATTTAGTCATTGAGAATATTTAAGTGAATATTCATTGGTTCTAGGCAGTTTTCTGCTTTTGTGATTCCAAATGGGCCTGTAATTTTATAAAATTGGTTATAACGAGCTTTCAGTGTTACAGAAGTGAGTACTTACTTTTTCTGCAACTTTCAGTAGCCTTTCAAAGTTGCTCTGTCCGGTCTCCATAGCCATATTATGGAAGATCTTCGTCTCACATTCCGTCAAGAGTTCATAGGGCGAACCAAACTCAACCATCTGACCTGCATCCATGACTATCACCTTGTCAGAGTCCATAATTGTGTTCAGCCTATGGGCTATCGTCAGCACTGTGCACTCCTTAAACTTGTTTCTAATTGTCGTCTGGATGAGAGCATCTGTCTGCGGATCCACGTTGGCTGTGGCCTCATCCATGACTAAAATGCGATTCTCGCGAAGAATAGCACGAGCAAGGCACACTAATTGCCTTTGACCCACACTAAAGTTGGTGCCACCTTCTGATATTTTGCTCTGAAGACCACTTGGTAGCTCGCTAATGACAGGTTTTAACTTGACTTCCTCCAATGCTTCCCATAATTTGGCGTCGCTGTACTCTTCAAATGGATCCAAATTGTAACGCATGCTGCCCGAGAAGAGCACTGGTTCCTGAGGTATAATGCTAATTTTGCTACGCAGATCGTGAAGTCCCAGCTCGTTGGTGTTGCGACCATCGATGATGATGGAGCCATCGTTATAAGACAGACGAAAGAGGGCGTTGATAAGTGAGGACTTGCCTGCACCTGTGCGGCCCACAATTCCCACCTTTTCCGTGGGTTTGATCTCGAAGTTGAGAGACTTAAGTACATACTTGGATTGAGGATCGGGGAAGTAACGAAGACTCAGATCGTCAGCTACGATTTTACCCTGCTCTGGCCATGTCGGTGGGGGTTTTTTGCTTGGTTGGGATTCATAATCGCCCTCTGGTTCTATCTCATCATATTCCACGACACGTTCCACAGACGTCATGGTGTTCTCCAGCTCAGCCGATTGACGCATGCCCCACTGCACCATGCCAGCCATACCCATAGCTTGAGTTATGGCTAATCCGACTTCTCCGGAGCTTTTAGGTGGATTTATGAAGTAGTTTAGTATAATTATTACTATGTACAAGGTGCAGAAGCAGTCCAGGTAGTAGCCAAAGGCTCGATTCGTGGACAGGAAAGTGTAGTAGCCAGAGCTGTGGAGATCCTGAAGATTGTCGAACTCCGCAATAAGGGCTTTCTGCGCTCCCATGGCTCTGATCGTGGGGAGTCCATTGAGTGACGAACTAATGTGAGAATAGATAGGAGATCTGGCCACTGCCTCTAATCGTTTGACATCTCTGGATGTTTTCAAGTAGAACTCTCGAATATAGTAGAAGATTATGGCCAGACCAAAAGTAAGAATGAGATAATACGGATTAGTTATACATATGACAACAATAATGCCAATCAGAGTTAGAAAGATCTGCACTACGTCCAACATTATTGTAGGCAGCAGCTCGTCTATCTGTCCTAGGTCCTTTGAAAACCGATTCAATATTCGACCCGAAGGATTCGTATTGAAGAAGTACATGGCAGCCCTGGTAATGCCACGGAACATTGCATTATGGAGCTTTGTGGAGCTGCGCATGGCTAGCTTATAGAAAAGCATGGTTCGCACCAGAGTGAATACAATCACAGCTATATTAAGAGCAGTAAAGTAGTATATATCTATGGGATCTGAGTCTTTCTCTGCAGCATCTTGGTTCTTGTCAACCCTAGAAATAGAAAACTAACTATAGAAAACTTATGATAGAAAACTTATTACATATATATTACCAATAAGCAAGAAAAACATCTGCTGAGGATCCCACAATTTGTGTACCCAAGCAGAGGAACACCATAAAACATATCATTAGGTATCCACTTCCTGCCGTAAAGTATTCCTTATATAGACCTAGACTGATTTTGCCCTGGACTCGTGTCTCTTGTGGTGCCATGGCTGAGTCCTGCGCAATAGACTCGGAAAAAGAGCTCAAGGAAGTAAAACTAACATTGCGCGAAGGCTGCTTCGACAGGTCCGATTTACTGCCACGCCTGCTTCTTGAAGCTAAGCTGAGACGATCCCAAATATCACCAGGCTCGCTATCCATATCATTCTCTCCATCTTTTGTCTTGTTTGGATCGGTCAAGAGTTGTGCAAAATCCAGGCCACTGCGCTGCATCGTCGCATATGTTCCCATCGCACTGATCTTGCCTTTATCCATGATAACAATGAGATCTGCTTGTTCCAGAAACTGCAGCTGATGTGTGACCAATATAACCAACTCGCTTCTCAGGTACCCTCTCATGCACTGGTCAAACAGGTGACGGCCCACATGTGTGTCCACTGCACTGAGTGGATCGTCTAGCAGGTAGATATCCGCCCTACGATACACAGCCCTGGCCAGACTGATGCGTGCCTTCTGTCCACCCGAGAGCGAAGCTCCCCGCTCGCCAACTATCGTCTTATCTCCCTGAGGAAGTAGTTCGAAATCCCGCTCTAGGGCACACTTCTTGACCACAGTTCGATAACGGTGCTTGTCCAAGGTTAATCCGAATAAAATGTTTTCACGGACAGTGCCAGTAAAGAGCCAAGGCTCCTGAGCGGCATAGGAGAATCTGCCATTGACTTTAAGGCTTCCTTTGTCAGCGGGCAGTTCACCAAGAATGGATTGTATAAGACTGGATTTGCCACCGCCCACGGGACCAATCACAGCTACCAGCTGTCGGCGATCCAATTTTAGATTAATATTATCCAATGTGTTCTCTGTTGATTTGCTATTCCACTTGGCATAGAATTGGGAAAATTCAACAAGCGATTCCGGATTGCCATTGAGCTTAGGTACATCGCCACTGCCGTTCTTTATTAGAGATCCATTGT